TGGTTAAGATTACACTTTGCATGTTCGCTAACTTGCATACTTGCCTTCATGTTCATGTTGCATACTTAGCCTCCATGCCTAGGTTGCATTGTATAGAGCATGCATGCTTTGCCTGTTGAATTAAGTATGATAGAGGTTGGGCTTTATGTGTTTATTTGATTTGCATGTCATTTGAAATAAAAATGCACAATTTGGCCTCTTGGGCCATCATGCATGAAAATGCGCGATTGGTGGTCCGAGGGTCGAGCACCATACTCCCTTGAGTCTTAAACATGATAAAGAGTGTGGTTGGTGCAAACATTGCTTGAAATGCATTGCCATGCCATGTTTTTTCCTCTGCTGCTGTCAAAACAGGTTTCTGCAGGAAGCTTTGGCCGGTCGGCCATCTATGCTGCCGACCGACCAAATATTTGTGGCCGAGAGCCCAACAGATGGTCGATGGCCATCCGGACATGGTCGGCGGGGTTTCCACTTGGTCGGTGGTGATCCAAAGTGTCCATGGAGCATACCTTGGGAGTTGTGCAATTTTCAGAGGAGCAGAGCAGGGGAAACAGAGGCAAACTTGTGCATGGTGGTGGGTTTCCGAGCGGAACCGAATGCGCTTACATTGGGCCCTCTTCCCGAGGCTGCTTTTACTGCTTTATTAGCTTAGTTAATTTGCTTAATTAGTTAATGGTCTGTAATATTTAATTAGCTTGATAGTTAGTTAAATTGTATTATTCTTTTAGTCCCTCCGAGCGAGGGCGAATTTGTAATAAGTGTGGATGCGTGTGTGCATGTCTCCCAACCCCCACTTCTTTCTCCCTTTTACTTACTTGCTTTCAATGGTTAGTATTAGGGCATGTTTCAATTAGCATACTTATGCTCGTATGTTTGCATCATTCATCAGTCTTGCATGCACCGGACTCGGCACATCATACTAACTGCATTGTATTTCAATTTCAAGTTGAATACATGTATCGATTGTTGCATCTCATATGCCATTCTTAGATTAGCCGAGCCTATCTTAGTTGCATTTTGCATGTGTTGCATTAGCCATCTTAACATGAACTAGGATCATGCATTGATTACTAACTAGTTCACTGTTTTGGCACGGAGTACGATGTAAGTATTTATGCTTTAGCATCTCGCATGAGTGTGAATGTTAATATGATAGCATGCTTACCATGTGGCTATATGCTTATGTGATATAACTGCATGAATGCCTGTGGGTGAAGGTTGGATTGTTTGAATTGAAATAATTCATCGAAATCCGTATTTTAGACTACTCGCGAGTAGCAAAATTCAAACCATTTTCCAAACAAACGGAAATGCGATGCTTTGTTCCGACTTAGGCAATTTAGTCTATACTTGTTTTGTCGTACGCATCACATAGTAATTCTAGGCTAATAACCGGTATAAGAACGCATAATGTTTTCAAAACAAAATATCATGGTTAGTACAGGCCGATCTTCGGATCGGGCGAGAGGGGGTGCTCATAGCTGACCTTCTCCAATCGTACCCAAGTTCCCGAGCCGAGGCAACTTTGGTGATGACGGACACGTGGCCTTAGGCAAATGAGTCAGGGTTTCCTAAATTCTCCCATAAAAAATATTTAGGTGGCGACTCTGTATCTGGCAAAGCAGTCCATGTTTGACACTTCTTTCTAAAATTCTGTTTTCCAAAATGATTTGCTAGATTTGGACTCTTTGGTTCAAATTAAGAACCGTGACGATTTGAGTTCGAACTATAGCGAGCCCAAAACGAACGAAACGGGATTCCCTCCCGGGGCATTCGGGGACGTTTACACCATGGCATCAGCAACACAAGCAAAAACTGGATCCAATGGCCCTAATCGCTGCTTCACCACCGTAGCCATTGAGCTTCCGTGGGTGATGGATCTCAGGCGACGGAGACTAACAAGGATGTGAAATAGAGAAACGGGGATAGAGAGAGAGAGACCGAGGTCGACAGACCCAGAGAGAGAGAGAGACTGACAGACAGACCAAGAGTAAGAGAGAACCTGGGAGGATGCGGCAGTGGTCGTCCTGATTTGCGGCGGCGACAGCGGTGGCGGTGGTGAGCGGCTGTGGTCTGTGCTGAGGTGAGGTTGGGTGAAGTTCGGTGCTGACAGAATCTGTGTGTGAGACAGAGCACCAGATGTGTAAAATTAAACATGCGCCAACATTTATTCATTTCCCTCTATTTCATTCAACCTTTAGCGACAAAACTACTAATTTGTCAGCAAATAGTGGCAAATGTTATTAATGGCGACCAACCCATTAGTCGCCAAAAGTAAATATTGGCCGACTAAAGTTCCTGGTAGCCAAAGAGTAACAGTAAATATATCTATTTTGGGTTAGAAACAAAATACATATATAATTAATAACAAATCGCGCTAATTACTTTTGAATCCCTCCAAAATTTGAAATCTCCTTTCAAACATTTTAATTTTTTGTCGATTAAAATATTCTTTTGTCGCTGAAAATATACTTTTGGCGACCAAAAAAAGATAAAAAATCATATTTTTCTTTTCATTTGGCTACTAAAATATTCTTTTGTGGTTGAAAATATAATTTTGATGACCAAACTTTTGGTCGCCAAATATAATTTTTTTTTTTTTTTTTTTCATTCGGCTACTAAACAATTTTAGTAGCTAAAAGAACCTAACGGCCACTAATTTTTTTTAGTCGCCAATTGTAATGTTTTTAGCGACTAAATTTTTTTTTAGTAGCTAAATATTTGACTTTTCAATATTCTTCGACTAAAAAAAATCAGTAGCTAAATATTTGACTTTTGCCGACTAATATTATTTTTGTCACCAATTCTACAGTTTTTGACGACTAAATTTTTTTTAATCACCAAAAATGTATTTTGTTGTAATGAAATATGATACAATCATTTTCAATAGTTGATTATTTTAATTTTTGTGAGTCGATACTTTGCTTAGCGGGGTCTTATAAAAAAAATTTGAATAATCAAAGTGGATCTCACCAAGCAACAAAAAGAATTCAAACCCTATTTAGGCTTTGGAGCCCTAAAAATATCCCCTTAATTCCCCTAATTTTTAATTTGGGCAACTTTTTTTTTTTTTTTTTTTTTTTTTTTTTTTTTTTTTTAACTTGATATGGAAATTAGGGGGATTAGGGGGGATTTTTTTAGAGGGATGTAGCAAGACCCTTAGGCCTATTTTGAAAAGTGAAAAAAAAAAAGAAAAAAAGAGTCAACTTTTTTATTTTTTATTTTTCTTGAAAAAACGTACAAAAATAGTAACGACGTGATGTGATGATAAGTCAAAATTGCCTTTTTTTTTACTTGTCAAAATAGACCTTTAAATATTAGTCACTTCAATAATAATAATAAACGCCCGCATAATAATCATGTGAACTTTTAAAAAAAAATTTGAGATTATTTTTCAAGCACCATAGAATAACTATGAATAATAGTGGTATAATTTGTCTCTCTAACTACATGTGGATGTAAATTTATAATGTGAACTTTTTAAAAAAAATTGAGATTATTTTTCAAGCACCATAGAATAATTATGAATAATAGTAGTATAATTTGTCTCTCTAACTGCATGTGGATGTTGTAAATTTACATAATAATAGGATGTGTGCGATGTGGTTCGATCGGTTTAAGAATAAAATTATAAATTAAATGGTAGATTAGTGGATTGATAAATTGATAAATTACGATTTGAGTGGTTTTAAATGGATTGACAAATTGAAGAATATTGTTATCAATTATTAAGCCTTTGTATAATAATATATAAAACTAGTTTGCCTAATATTTTTAACATATATAACACAAACTAATTTTACATAATATTTTTTATATATATAACTACTAATTTGTAATAAAATTCACATCTTAAATTTCTCACATTTTTATTTTGATATTTCATTATAGGTTAAAAAATATATATATGTATTAATTATAGCGGAGCGAAATGATTTTAAAAGCGAATCATAAATTTTAAAGTTTAAACCGCAGTTAGCGTATAAAGCGGTGCAGATTGATGCGAATCGATACGATTTTAACGGATTAAGCAATATTTTACACAACCCTACCTAAAATTATATGATTTATTATGAATTATTCATCCAAAAACATAATATCCATCATTATAATCATAATTTATAAATATACAATTAACTTCAACAAATAATTCCATCAATCCATGTACAAAGTATGTGTAGCCTAAAAACAGCCCACACAAGAGGGTGAAGCCTGAGTGAGCCACCCAAAATTGAACTCACTCAAGCCCAGTATCATTTATAGGCCCAAGTGCTAGCATCGGATGTGTTCCTGGCATTAGGGTTGTGTTGTGTCCCATTCGTTTGGTGTCTACGGGTGATTATTCAGTACTCTCAAAATATAGATACGTGACTCCATAAGATTTTAATTAGTAAAAAGACACAAGGGCTCACGATTTATGTTAGTGATGGAAGAACAACATAGAGCTAAATAATTGATAATTACACATGGTACTCCAAGAGTATTGAATAATTTCCCGGTGTCTACTTATTCAAAAATTATTGATTGTAATTGTAATAAAATATTCCTTTTAAATTTTTGATTGGCACTTCCTATACTATTTGGCAAAGCAGTGCATTGATCTCAATAGGGTTTGTTTCCATAGAATTTAAATAACTTTAAAAAAGCTTGAATAGCATTTTTTACAAAACATCATACTTGTTAAGGTTGTATGTTTTTTTTCAGCGAATTCAAATTATGACATTAAGATTCAAAACCTAAGACGGCTGTATGGAAACTTGGGCTACATACACCCTTCATAGCTATGTAGAGAGCACAAAATTTTTATTCCATTCACTTAAGTGTGAGCATTTCTGCAAACAAAGAAATTAAAGATTGTACATTGAGTAGTAGAAAAGGGATTGCATTAGATACATTAAAAATCACAATCTGTAAAATGTGACTTTTCAAACATTACAATATTTCACATTTAGGTTTAACATATATATAAGTAATAAAAAAAAAAAAGACCCAAAAGAGAATGGAAAAAAGAAAGAGTACAATTCTGAGTACTCGTCGACTTGCAAAGAATATAGTATATCAAAAAGAACTAGAATTTCAACAAACAAAAACAAAAACAAAAACAAAATTATTGGGTAACTAATTTTTAAATTAAAATTTGAATTTAGAAAATTCTCATAGAATAAACTAATTTTTATGTGACTGGCAAACTTATCTCTCCTATGCTCTTGGTGGTATGAATATACTCAAACCTCCTTGAAGATTTATCATCACCACAATTTGTATTGCTATCTGTATCATCTTGAGCTCTGCTTACCGGCATACCAGATTTTCTTCTGACAAATTAAGATTTTTTCCTTTCCAGAACCGTTCTCGGTGTCTTCTTTATGGCAATTCCATCTCAGCCCCCTGGCAATGATAGCGACAGCATCCGCGTAATAGTTGGACTCCCGGATTATTGCGTACCCATATGGCCGCAGGATCCTATCCATCTCCAGGAGGACATACTTCATTTCACACCTGCCAAGGATTATCTAATTTCAGAATCACAAACCCTAGGTAAATATGTCCATTGCTTACACACAAATCACATTATACATTTGAAAAAAAATAACTTATGCTCCTATGATAAAAGGAAAACAACATAGATTTATACCTATTAATCTCTCCTCTAAAATTTAAAACCTAGTGCTATGTTGTATTTGTTTTTCTGTCTTTGAACGAACAATTGATATTTATGACCTACAATAAATATATATAAAACTATATATTTTGCATGTGTTCTTCACGTATTATCTCTTAAATTTTTTTAAAAATTGTCACGTCGTGTTGCATGTCTGTGCCTCTAACTACTTATAGCAAAAAGCAAACAATATTGTATATATTGACAAAAGGAATCAACAAAAAACTTAATCCCTTACCTTTGGCTTTCAGCAGTAAAAAGGCCATCAAGGTGAAGGAGGTCATATGTTCGAGGATACGTTGAGAAAGCCTCACACCTACAAAACAAGCAATAAATGAATTTAAAAAATAAAATAAAATAGAATAAAAAACTAGTATCATACAGACACTATCATTGTTCATATGAAAATTACTGAGAATTACCAGTCATGGAAGGTTCCAATGAGGCCCCTGTCATAAACAACAGGAAGCGTATTGGGAGAATACGAAGACACAACATTCATCACCCAAAGTGGATCATTAATCAAGGCTGCAGCAAAACCTCCATAAACTGTATTCATGTCCATCACATTTCTAATCTTGTCCGTTCCAATCGTGGGGATCAACTTCTTATAGTGTTTCGCTCGCACCTTCCACGTACTGTCATCCAGCTTAAAGGCACCAGCGCTGCCACCACGAACATCAGAGACCCGTTCAGGTGCCACAATCAACCTTTCGGGCCATTTGGGTATTGATTTCAGGGCTAGCTTTCTGAGCTTAGGGTTTGGAACAACAACGCAAGGTCTGAGCGGAGTGTACCATCCTGAATCTGGCTCTGTGCCATCATCACACTTGGGTGGGTAGGCATCTGGGCCAAAAAGCTTGCTATAGCAAGTATTGTCTTTAGATTTTTGCCACACTGCAATGTCGTCCTTTTGGTTATACATTGTGAAGCACATTGAAGTTAACAAGTCTTGCAACTTGTCATAATCGGATTTCTGTTCTTCCACAGTTGTGTTCCAGCCTCTCCAGCGGTTTTGGTAGTTAACAGGAGGACCAGACAGAACCCAGAAGCCTCCAGGACGAAGTATGCGGTGTACTTCTAGAAGGTAAACCCCACCTGAAGAATGAAAAATGATATGTCATCTGGTTCAAAAAACTTGCCATGACCAATAATAGTAGAGAAGCTGCACTTTGGTATTACTGGGCCAATCTGGCTAGTAGAAAATTGAGAATAACATAGTGATCATTTAAGTTTATGGGACAGATAATGAAGTTATGATCTGTTACAAACAAACAAAAAAACGAATAAATAAAACTGGGGTAATCTAATAATATAACAAGTGTCAGGTGTATGCTCTTAACTATCCCTAACAAGTACCCACCACGTGGTCAACCTTGAAGTTCCTCATAAGAAGAAGAAATTAATGAACGAAACTTGAAGTTCATGCATAACAAAAAAAGTAAAGGAGCTATATTTCTTACTTTTAAAGAATACACATGGTGTGCTGAGTGGGATAAGTTCTACTGATCTATAAGGCACTTAAATTGAATTGGGTGTTCTTTCAGTTACATAGCCAAAAGTCCCAGAACTCAGAGAAACATGAGAAAGTAAAAGGATTTTGTTCACACATTAAGAAGCTTAAACATATTGTACATTCTGCATGAAAGTACATGAAACAAAGAATGCACAATCTTTTACGCCATGTTAACATGTGCCCACACGTCAACAAGACTAAAACTGCCATTATGGGTTAACAGAGATTGATTACCAAATTCTGTCCACGGGATAAGACACCTTGAGCAATGAGCCATATCAAATGAGTTCGAGGGGAAAGGAAGCCGTTGAGTTGAAATGATGCCCAGAATTGCAGGAATTCCACGTTCCAGAGCAAATTGAACTTGAGCCTCATGATTATCCCTTGGGGCAAGGGAGACTGTTAGAATTCCACGATCTAGTAAATCACCTCCCCAGCTAGCAACCTAGGGATAGAACAATTGAGAAGATTCATTGACCCAAGTATTCAACATGTATTAAAAATATACATGAAATACAATATTGTTAATTTTTTATCATGTAATTATTTTTTCATCAAGAAAACCTCTAACCACAATGATCTACATCCGACTAAATGAAAGCATTAATCAGACACCGACATCTTATTATCCGTTGATTGTGTATAGAAAGCAGAAACAGATAGGCATTTTATAAGTGTACTAAATATACCATTTCAAACAATAATATGAATCCAGAAAAGTAAATTGGAGTCAAGTTGCAGATAAAAAATAAAAAACTAAATTTCCATCTTTGGTGAACAAGTAAATTATAATACATAAGCTAGCATGTGAGCAACAAAACTCATTGTCTCATGCTATCAACGATGATCAAAGAGAAGAAAGAAGACTATAAAATGAAATGACTCACCCCACATCCAGTGTCAATGGCAGTTCGAATGGTCCCATCTTGCATTTCTGGGATCAGATCTCGCATCAAATCAACGTAGGCACTAACACCTTTCGGGAACATAGTACCCCCACCGGGGAAGTGGAATTTCTCCCCTTCTTTCCTTAGCCAGTTCTGGTTAGACTTCTGCTTGTTGATCCAATCATAAGGCACGTTCCTAATATCAGATCCAAAACGATTAGTTTCAAGTACAAAGCCAGCAAAACTCTTCGGTATAAGAAAGCGGACCATTTCCATATTACCTGTACCAACACTCATCCCTGCTCTTGGGCCATGTGATTGGTGGCTTGTACCCATCTGGTGGGGGAATCAAGCATTCCTTTCTTTCAAATAAAGGAGGACAATGGCGTTCCAAGAAAGAGAGCCGATGAAGACTATACTTCTTCCACCTCTGTAACAACAATACTAGGTTGCTTAATCTACTTAAACAATCCCAAACTATATAGCCAAAATCGGGTTCGTAAGAGTCTTGGCACAATGAAATTAGTCATTAGAAAAATACCCTTGGATCTGTGCATGGAGTGAAGTCTTGATAGTCAATGCTGCATTCAAGAAAGGCAACAGGCTTGATTTGGAGAGGGCCAGACAAAGCCATGGTTTCCTTGGGAGATTCTACTTTGGTGAGATCATTGGTATCATATTCGTCCTTGTTAGAGCAGAAGATGCCACCAAGATAGAATGAAAACCCACATAGTACAACAAACAATATTGCTATGGGGAATACCCCAGAACTTCTATCCGGCCTAGAAATTGGTTTTCCATCTTTGTGCTTCATGATCCCAGAACTTATTGATTATCTGCTCATATGCAAGACAAGTTGTAGAAATAAGTCTCTTCAAGAAATAAATAAATAAAAAAAGCACAAATTTTGTACAAATTTTCTCCAATGGACTGTTTGATTGCCAAAGGAACATACAAGAGAAAATTAAAATCTTGGAAACTTTTAATAGCCACTCCAAACCCAACTCACTGTAACATCCCAAGTTTGTTTCTTTGCCTATGAGAGAAAGTAGTTGAATTGATTAAAACAAGATAACAAATCAGATTATCGATTACAGTCATTGGAAACAACGCAGCCAAGCCTTTAATGATAATCAAGTATTCATGCAAGAAGTGAATTTTAATTTATTAGGTATGTATGCGTGTGTAAATGATAACTTGATAAAATAAAACACACTAATAAAAAACAGAAAACACAAAAGGAAATAACAAATTTACAAATCCAGATTGGCAACACCAGCAAAAAAAACCCGTTAAATTTGTATGACAAATTAGCTCAAAGTGTAATTCCATTGAATGCAAAGAAAAAGAGAAACGAAAGGCTAATTAAATCCAAAAGCAACATTCACACTCACAGAAAAAAACGAATTAATGCAGATCTAATGGTCAAAACTCACTATTAAAGCTAATTGAAAAACTTGTGAAAACTAGAAGATCATAAAGCAACTGCCGACACACTAGCACTTTCCATGTCACTTTGCCTTTATATTTTTCACATGATATTGGTCCCAACCCCTATGATAATTTTTCCCCTTAAATGAAATGAGGGCCCTCTCACCCACTAAGTCAGGAAAGTGGCAAGAAAATGAAGCAATCAATCTTGCACCAAAGCTAAACCATGCAAAAGCCAAAAACATATGAAAAAGAAAGCATAGATATATGCATCCATACACATGTATAGATAGATATTGATTTTTTATATCTTCAGTGTGTAGATAATTTAATCATTCCTTAACCTGGAAGATAAGTTGTTATTATTAAATTATCACTGTATACCAATCAGCTATTTTTCTTCTGAATAATCCACTCATAAAGAACAATCCAAGAATAAAAAAGCAAAAGCACGTAGCTCCAAAACATACCCATCAAACAATTGCGTAGAATTATCGAAACATTGATAAAATTTTATCAATTACACCAAAGAAATCTTTATACGTATAAAAATGTATGTATGTGGGAAAACAGAGTAGGGCCGTAAAAGAATATGCAATTCAATATGAAAATCAATTTTCCTAGGGAAACCCATTTGTGAATTACGATGTATCTTGTTCAGAAACTATAATCCGCTGAAAATGACGAAACAAAACAAAAATTAAAGGAACCCATTTTCCAAAATTGGATCTAATTCACGAGATTAAAGAAAACCCAATTGGGAAATTTACGAATGCGGCAAGAAATCAAAGAAAACAGATAGAACAGAACAAGAAGTAATGTGAATGTAATGGAGCATTCTCAACAATTTAGTCTCTTCATGACTATATTCGCATTTTGATGCAATAAACCAAAAAAAAAAAAACAGAGCAGAGAGAGAACAGAGAGAGAGAGAGAGAAAGACAAGTACCGTTCTTTTCTATCTGGGTACGTAAACTCAGCTACTGATATTGAAAAGAATTGAAAACACACAATAATGTATTCTCCAAAGAAAGGATAGAATGTTTGAGAAATAAAACTAGGTAAAATGGGTTAGAGAGAGAGATCTCTCAAACAATACAGAGAAACAGAGAGAGAGAGAGAGACCTAGGATAAAGAGGACATTGCGGGGCAGGGAAGTTCACAGATATCTTAGCCTCACACCCAGAGAGAGAGAGGGAGAGAGAGAGAATAGCAATGGACCTTAAATAAAGTCCGGCTAAGCTTCGCCTCCTGCCCGCTGTTTTTTCCACCCGTTTTCTCCCCCTACTCTCTCTCTCTCTCTCTCTCTTTCTCACTCTATGTTTTCTAACTGTATATATCTCTCTCTATCATAGCATCATTATCTCTCTCTTTTTTATTGGAAATTCTAATATATACACCAGATGTAATATACAAATTTTAAAAAATAATGAATCTATTTTTAATTATATCATTTTTTTAATTATGATTAATTTTCTTTTATATTATGATATTATTTTAATTATAATTCATGAGTTTTTTAATTATACTAGTATGTTTGGTTTGAGTTTGGGAGATGAGTTTTAGAAATAAAAAGTACGAAAAGTTGTTTGGTTTGATTTTTTTCAAAAGATGTTTTAAAAAATTATTTTGAGAGAGAGTTTTGGAAAAAGTGATTGATTTGATGTGTATGAGAGAGAGAGAGATTTGTTTGAAAAATTTGTAAACCAAACAAGTTTTGGAAAATTTTTTTGAAAAAATTTGTTTAGTTTGATTACTTTTAAAAACTTATTTGTAGAGAATTTTTTCTAAAAATTTTTAAGAAACACAAACCAAACAAGGCTTTATATCATTTTTTTAAGTATAAGGTGCATATAAATGGTGTAGACTGTATTTCTCTTTTTTTATATTTTTTTTCCGTTTTTGAACAAATGTCATTGCATTATCCTGTCTACCATTTAAAAAAAAAAAAAATTAAGCATAAGGAAATGTGTTTGGAATTTTTTTATTTATTGCCAAGGTAAACCATTGAAGTAAAAGTTTGGGAATAATTTTTTTTAATGATTTTTTTAATTTTTTAGAAGTTAAAAAGATTAATATGTTTGGAAAGTTATTATAATAATAAACCAACAAAAAAAAGAAAAAGCAAAGAAAATAATTGAGTAAAAAAGTTAATGCCATTTTGGCTTTTTTAGCCGATAGTAATTTTTTTTTTTTTACTTTTTTAACTAAAAAGTTTATTTATTTAGCACATTCTAAACACTTGACTTATACAAAAAAATTATTTATTTATTAAATAAATTTATTAATAAATTCTTCCAATTTCTTTTACTTTTTAATGTGATATTTTGAGGGTCACGTACAAATGAAGTTGGTTGACTTAATTAGAAAATTTCAGAAATTGAGGGTCACATAAAAAATTAGTTGGTTGACTCAGGTTACTTTTTTATACATTTTAAAATGTATATAAATTTATATTGAACAATTTTAAAATTTTGGTTAGCTTATTTAATTTCAAGCCAACTTTTTGTATTCAAATCGAATTAGCTTGTTTTACAACATCAGTCAATGATATAATTAGTTAAGGCCTGTTTTGGGTAATATATAAATAAGATGTTTATTGGATTATTTGCTTATTTCAGTCATATCATTTTTAAAATCTTTTTTATACATATTCTCGTAATAAGTAAAAAAGGCAGTTTATAAGTTATATCCAAAATCTCATATTGACAAATTTATTACAACAATCCAGAGATGCCACGTGACAGATTGCAATTTTTTTAGATAAATTACAAATGCATTACTTGAAATTTGTTTAAAATATAATGTTTGGTTTGCATTTGGGAGATGAGTTTTAGGAAAAAATTTCTAAAAAATTGTTTGGTTTGAGTTTTTCTCAAAAAAATTTCAAAATCACTTTCTCTCTCTCCTCTCTCATTCTCAATCACTTTTTCTCTCACACACATCTACTCAAATTCTCTCAAAATATCAAATCATCCCAAACTCCCAAAAAAATAACTCTCCCAAAATATACAACCAAACAAACCAAAAAAAATTCTAAACTCTCTCCCCAAATTTTTTTTTCAAAAACAAACCAAGTCCAAATTGTTTCTTGTGGTTTTAGAAATTAATATTTTTAAAAATCCAAAATCTCGTCTCTTTATATTTTTAATTTCATAACAAATATCTCATTTTATTAATAAATTATGTCAATTAATATTTTTTAATGATATTAGAAATTAATTTCAATTAATAATTAAAGTAGTTTTATTATTGTATAAGAGAGCAATTACAAATTTTATTTTTTTCAATTAATTTTGTTAAATTAAAAATTCTGCTAATAGGATTTATAAATTTTCAAATCATAAGGGATAATCCATATTTTAAACAAATTTTTAAGGAATATATTTATAATTTACTTTTTATTTTAATTTTTTAAATCACAGAAGTTTTTGAGATTTTGCTCCTCATTATTCTCCTCAATATATGTAATATCTCATCTTTTATACTTAATACTTTATATATAGTAATTATATGTACGAGAAAGAAATATTTGCCTCGCTCCGTGCCTCCTTGCTACCAAGCTCATCTTACTCCCTTAGAACTCCGTTGTACTGTGGACAAAACAAAGGTGAGCTACCCGGTAGGTGGGTTTGCCAGAAAACCCATCCGACGGTCAAGTTAGCCTTCTGGGAGAAGAGAGAAGGCAGAGCTCCGTAGAGAGAGAGAGAGTTCGAAATTGCTTACCTCTAACGTCTTCATGCTCTTCCTTTTCAAGGCTAGCCATGCAGTCTTAGAGATCGTGGGTGCACTACCTCTGCTGTCTTTCTCTGGACAGGCAGTTATGCTTTCCTTTACATTTCTTACACGTGTAGAGACCAAAACTACCAAACAGTATTTGTCGCACCGCCAAATGGTATTAATGCATACTAGGAGTGGATTCCTCTCTTCTCGTTACTGGTCCACGTGGAATACTGGACTAAGCTATTATTTGGATTACACTCAGAATACTGCCTCTAAACGATCCATTACCGAACTGATCCAGAACAGCCATCGAGTCGAAGTCGCGCTTGATCGACAGCCAGGCGCCTTCCTCAAGCTGGTCGGCCAAGGGCGAGCAATCAGTCGCCTCGACTGAATAGTGCGACACTGGCACACTGAGTCGTTCGACGTGGATGGTCCACGCCGCACCTAACCAGGCCGACTTGGTAACATTGAAGCAAGCTCCTGGAACCCTAATGTTGATAGATGGCCCAGCGCAGATCCAGGTCCTATACCACGATAGGCCGGCCAAGATAATTTCACGCAGCACCAAACTTCAAGCTGTTCCTTGCTTAGCCCAGCTCATGTTCCTTTGGCTCGGCCCAACACCATTTCCCTTGTTAGCGTAGCTCGGCCCAACACCATATTCTGTGTCGAGGTAGCTCAACCCACTATTCAATACAAATCCCCTCTCTATTGCCCATTAATCCTATCCGAGATGAGCATAATTGGGATTACCATTTTCAACTGCGCTACCCATTTTGGTCGGTCGTTGAAGTTTGTGCCGACTATCTTGTCAACAATCAATCAGCTGCACTGACAACCCATCGGTTATACTGATGGTACGTCACCTCCATGCCACGTGGCCTTCCCTGATTGGTTCCGTGCAAGCCCACAGCTATCTCTATTATCTATGAAATTTGAAAAATTGGCGCCTTTTCATCATTATCTATATACACGCCAAATGTCAGATCTCCTCCCTCACTGTTCATCTTCTCCTTCGTGCAAAACCCCAAGCCTTAAACCCTTGAGCTTCTGCCACTATCGCCATTGCTGTCATTGCTTCCATCCGTGCTGTTTTCAGCATTTTTCGTCCTCACGAACACCACAACAAGGATCGAGGTTGATTAGGTCTTGATTTGGCACCCAAACCCATAAGTTTTTCTCATTTTTGTCTCTTTCTCATTGTTGTTCTTCGTGTTCTTCTTGTCTGGGATTGTTAGTACCTTGCCAGTGCCCTTTCCTTGGGGTAAAACTGGTAGATATTTGTAGAAGTTAGGCAAAACTGAAACCTAAAACATAAAAATCAGGCCTCTTTGCCCTTCATCTCCCTTGACTTCAGTATATAGCCTTGAGTTTAGGATAAACAGCTCAATTTCTGGGCAAAATCGAGCTAAACCTCAATTTTAGATCCAAAAGATAGGATTAAGCTAAGTTGAAATTGGTTTGTGGTCTTTCCAAGCGACTGTGACCGCTCTAGAAGCTTGTAGGGATCCTCTAGTCGAGATATGCACCAAGTGATTAGCATAAAGGCCTAAAACCGGCCCAGCATCTTAGGCTCCACCACCGAGCTAAAAACAAAAATCGAGTTAAGACTAAGAAAGCAGCAAAACTTTTGCCGAGCTAGGCATATTTTGAGAGCCGTGCACTTGATGTCGTGCTAACACTTGTACTTATTTTTAATAATGCAGAACGAACTAGGACCGACCAGGCACATATCAACGTTACAGTTGGTGAGGCTCAAAGACCGAGCAAACAATCACCAGAGCCACTCAATTTTGACCAAGCTATTTATCTTACAAAATAAAATTGGGATAAATGGGGAAGTACCGATTTATGGTTAGTTTTCCAAGCGCCATGGTTAAGTTCCGAAGGGAATTCAACATTCCAAACGACGTCCACTTAGAGCTAGCCAAAAAGGGAGACACTCTCTGGGGAAAATTGGATGTCTGCCCTTTCACTGTGGTGTCTATAGTCAAAGGTGTGTTTCATTTCCCAGTCTAGCCCTTAGTTTGTGAGTTTTT